GCCACAGAAAGATTAACCCTTCCACGTGAAGATGGCGGACGTGGTCTGATTGACATAGTTAACCTTCACTACAAACAACTACAGTCACTGCAAGAGTTTTTCTACAGTAAACAAGAAACATCACAATTACATAAAGCAGTAACTCTAGCAGACTTAAATAGCACACCATTAAACTTACACTCACAACACACAGACATGACACAACACACAAAAAACATAGACACCATCAAGCAATCGTGGGCTGAAAAGGCACTCCATGGCAGGCATCCTTATGACCTGGCCCAGGATTTTGTTGACAAAACTGCATCAAACAGGTGATTAGATCAGGGATGCCTCTTTGGGGAGACGGAAGGATTCATGATTGCCATACAGGATCAGGTCATAAACACTAAAAACTACAGAAAACACATACTCAAAGATACAACACTCACAAAATGTCACATCATGCCAGAAACTATACAACACATCACTTCTGGTTGCAAGCTCTTGGCACAGACAGATTATTTACACAGACACAATCAAGTAGCAAATATAATACACCAAGAGCTTGCAAAGAAACACAAACTGGGTAGACATTCACGAACCATACTACAAATACATTCCACAGACAGTATGGGAAAACNGCAATGGAAGGTGTTTAATGTTTTATTAAGTATCATTTATTTATCCATAAACCTGGTTTTGGGTTTAAATAAAAGCTTTTTCATTCTTATAATAAAATGCATATAAAAAATTATGAAATCGAACTCGGAGGTTATATATCTTTCATTAAAAAGAAAACATTCGATCTAGCGCTCTTGCAGTGATTGCAGTGCCCCTGGTGATAACATTTGTCTCTAGCTGATTTTAGCAACGAGCGAAGATAGGAAGTTGAAAGACCAGTTAATCTACCGACTCTGACGTAAATCAGTTCAAGAAAAGAGAGAAGACCAATAGACTTGCTGCATCATCTGTGGTGAAACCTTTGAAAAAGACTGGATTAAGTATAGAATTTGTGAAGGTTGGGCTCACAAAAATTGTGCTGATCTTGAAGGAAACAAATATTTTTTTTTATGAATGTGATGTTTGCATTACCAAAAAAATAAACACAAAATGCATTTGTCATTAAAATGAATTGTTAAATTTTCAGACTGATAATTTTTAAAATTTTTCTTATTTATACCACTTTCTTATCATGTAATAACTTAATTTTATGATCTGTAATTTGTACTTTTATAAATTTCTCAATAATAACTCTGCCTAATAATAAAAAGTTGTTTGTGAAACTAAACGTAATTCTTTTCTTCCAAATTTTTCTCATGTTCAATACAACCCTCCAAAATTAAACTTGGTAAAAATGTAATGACTGTAAAAAAATTATTAATATTTTTATCTTAGAAAAATGAGTTTTAACAGGTGTTTTTAATAAGACAATAAAGTTTTATATGGAATGTAATCTGGACCAATTGAGCTGTAAAATTTTATAATATAGGAGAAGCTTAGGTGTCCAGTACTACTCGACCTTCCCCGAACTTTTCAATGTTGCAGGAATTGCTTTTCTAAGATGGTGTTGAAATACAAAATTCTCTGTCAGTTTTTTCAAAAGAGATATTTGCCAACACTTGAAAACATTACAGGAGCTCCATCAGTGTGAAGAGAATGAACATTTTCTTTCCAGTTAAAGTTTCATTTGTAAAAATACTTTTTACCATTTCAAAAATGTCGACAACCTTCGTAGTTTCCAAAAGAGGCTAGCAAAAGAATAATTCTTCTTTGATGAAGTCAGCATGCACATAGTGAACAAAAACAAGGAGCTGGATACATTGAGAGATGTCTGTAGTTTCATCCAATTGCATACTGGAATGGTGAGGCTGCCAATTCATCAATGATCTGATTCAATATATTGAAAAACATATCAACTATTCTAGATATTTAGATATGTACCATAGATGATGCAATTACTATTGCCACTACTGTAATTCAATTTACTATTTGTTCTGTAATAGTAAACCACTCATTTTCTTAATATATTAAATTTAAAAATTTTGTTACTTAAATTTTTTGTTAAAAATGGATAATTTCCAAATAGTGTATCACCAAGATCAAAAGATGGAAGTGGCTCGTCAACTCAGAAAAGCTGGGGTGATATTGTTGAAGAAGAGGAAGAAAAAAAATTACATGAACAAATTGAAAAATTATCTAATAATTTTTTAACTAGGTAAGACAGAAAAGATACTTTAAAATAATTTGTAAAAGTTTGTAAGAATATTAGCCTGTATTTATTAAAATTATATAATTTTGAATATTTTTCAAATATATAGTAATAATTAAAGTTGTTTTCCAGTACCCCAAATAAAAAGACTTTTGCAGTTCCTAATTCTCGTAAAAGACCTGCTGAATCTGGAAATGAGTAAGTTTGTTAGAAATATTACGAAATATATAAATTTGGATGTGTATACTGTATTATTTATAGGATTTTATTGTTATTAATTTTTTTTAGTTATCGAGGTGAGACAGGATATGAAAATGATCCAAAAGTTCTTCGTCGAAGACAAAAGCAAATTGACTTTGGTAAAAATACTATTGGCTATCAAAAATATTTAAAAGCAGTTCCCAAGTAAGAAAATTTTAAATTTTAATGTTTTACTTAGCTTAAAATATCAAAATTTCAATTAGATTGTGTGTTTATAACATTAATAATTTAAATGCTCTTATTCATACAGTGTTGTGATGTAAATCATTTGTCAGAAAGCTTTTGAATTTTTTATAGCTATAGATTTTGGGCCAAAAAGTGAGAGATGATAATCTATAATTCAAATTAATTTTTGTTGACTTGTTGAAAAGAAAAAATAGAAAATGAAAATTTTCATTTAAAGTAAAATCTTACGTATATTTTCTTCTATATCAGATAATTTTAAAAAATTTTAAATAAAATTTGCTTGAGACTTAAAGAATGTACATAAAAGAAATTATTGTTTTCATAATTGATATGAGCTGACCAGTGGTTGAGTGGATAAAATCATTGAAAGTCAGTAATTGGTCATGAGTTTTTACCTCACCGGCAGGTTGTTCATGTGGAGTTTTCTGTATTTTCTATATGTATCTAACACCTAAATAGGGAACAATTTTCTATAAAAGTCCTCCCAGGTGGCACCTCTCCTTGGCAGATGATCTATGTGTTACATTGCTTTATACCATCAGCCCAGTTCAATATGTAATTGTGGTATGATTAAAATTACAATGGGTGATCGTTAACAAACAGTTTGGACTGCCGACAAATTGGACAATGAACACTTTTGTGAAAGATTTTTATGTGCAGACAACAAACACATGTTCGGTTAATGAACACCTCATAGAACAAACACAAGAAGAAGCGACACTGTGTTTAAGATTTGTAGAACTGTATTTTACTGGCATCTATGAATGGTTTATGGAATGAGATTTTGACAGTTGTATACATAACCTTTTTCATGCTAGTTTATTTCTGTTCTCTGAATTTTTGTAAGTACTTTTTTTGAAGTTTTTATTCAAAAAACTGATGATATTACAGGGCCTTAAAAAAGTGGAATATCAAGAACCATAGAAACTAAGGAAAAGATAATCACCAAGGTGGGCAGATGATGTCTGATGTTGCTAGGCAGTATGGCTTCAACAAGTCTACAGCAGGCACTATCTGAGCTAAGAAAGATATAATCAAGAAGGCTCAAGCAGCTAAAGGAGTAATGAAATCACATCTGAGAAACAAAGATGTGCCATCTATTAAAAAAATGGAGAGATTGCTTTTAGTTTGGATAAAAGAAAGGGAAATGAATAGAGATATAACTAGTATGACTATCATTCAAGAGAAGGCTATATAAATTTTTGAAGAACTGAAGAAACAAATTCCACATTCATCACATGAAGAGAGAGAATTCAAGGCTACCACTGGATAATTTGCAAAGTTTAGAAGGAGATCTGGCATTAAACATGTAATACATGGTGAGTCTGCTAGTGCAAATGAAGAAGCTGAGTTCTGTCTCAGATTTCAAGAATTCGTCAAAAAGGATATTGTTTGATGAATCTGGTTTATTTTGGAAGTGCAAGCTGAACTGTATCTACATCACAAAAGACAATAAAAATATTCCTGGGCATAAACTCATGAAAGACTGACATTACTTTTGCAAGCTAATGCTAGTGGTGATATGCTTAACCCACTTCTTGTCTATCATTCTGAGAACCCTAGAGCATTCAAAAAAACATTTCATAATTAAAGAAGAACTATAAAATAATCTTTTAACAACAAAGTGTTAATTATAAATAAAACGTAAACATTATTGTGGTTTGAAAACTACGTTACTAACATTTTCGGTCTACTCCTAGGACCTTCCTCAGGTAAAACATTCTAAAATATTTCTGGTGCTAATGTGTTCTATTTTGGAATGCATAGGACTTTAGGCATTGAAGTCATATGCATCCAAAATAGTTTTCAAACCACATGCAAAGTGCAATAAGGTTTGTAAGTTTTATTTATTAAGAAAGACTACCAGCAATGTGGAGATCAAATGAAAGGGCATGGGTCACACAGGTTCTTTTCAAACAATAGCTGTTTAAAGTTTGTGCCTCAAGCATCAAGGATTACCTTCAGACCAATGAATTGCCATTGAAAGCACTGTTGCTATTGAGCAATGCACCAGGACACCTAAAAGACCTTGAAGATAATTTTCTGGAAGACTTTCCCTGGCTGACAGTTCAGTTTATGCCTCCAAATACCACTTTGCTGATTCAGCCAATGGATCAGGAGTTTATTGAAGGTTTCAAGAAACTGTAGATTTGTGCAGTTTCATTGGTGTTTTGAAGTATGCCAGTTTTCCTCAAAGATGACATTAAAAATGTTTTGGGAAAAAAAATTTGATATTCTTGAAGCTCTCCAGCTCATTCAAAAGGCGTGGTCAGAAGTCATTCAACGACAGTTGAATTCAACTTGATGAAAGCTGTGTTTGTTCTGTATTCAGGGAGACGGAGATGATGTCTCTGAAATTATGGATGAAATTGTGACAATTGCTAGAGATCTGGAATTGGAGGTGAATGAAGATTACATTGAAGAGCTTATAATGGAACATAAAAATGACTAGACAACAGAATAACTCCAAGAACTCTTGAATAAAGAACACCAAGAAACTTAGCAAGGTTGTTTTATTCTGAAAAAGAGGAAGATGAAAGAGGACCAATGCTAACATATGCTATTAAAAATCATTTGAAGAAATGGATGGGAGGATGTCAAAAAAAAAAAAAAAAAAAAAACAGTCTTAGAATGACACCCAAACCAGTTTGAGGTCAATAGGATTGGGGATCTCTACAACTACAATGCAATTAATCACTTCCAAAAAATTCTGAAGAAGAAAGAAAAGCAATTGACATTGGACAGATTCTTTAATGCCCCACCCATTCTCTTTGGATAATATTTATTACATTCTCTTCTTTCATTTTTTTTAATAATGTTAATTAGTGGATCTTAATATTTTATGTTTACCTATTTGAGTGTAAAGAATAAATTCTACTAATTATTGTGATTTTAAATTTTGTGTTAAGTTTAGTGGATAATTTTTTGTTTTGGATCAAAAGTTTAAATTATACCAGAAAATAATTTATTGTGTAGATTCAATCTGATGCAAAGACCCAAGCATAAATTAGATTTATAAATTGTGCTAATAGAAATCTAAATTTATTCATTTCAGAAGTCCTTGGCTTACATGAAAGGAATATTTTTTTTATTGTTCAGGCAAACTTTTATGTGAGTTAATACAATTAATCCAGAACAACAACAACAAAACACAGAGAAGTTCAATGAAACAAATCTCTCTCTCTTTATAAGATATTTTGCATGAAAGATGAATTGAACTTTATTGGCTTACATAATAAATTCCTTTTTAATAACATTGCTACTTTTTGAAATAACAAGATAAAAGCTTTGCCTTTTATACATAAAACTTTGCTATACTTCAAATATTTACAATGTTAAATGCACACAAAGTTGGTTATACAATAATTTAATTGACTTAGTGGAAGAATGAAGTCCTTTATTTTCCTGGAATTTCTTCTCTGCAGTTATATATATATATTTTTAATATTCTACANTCACACAACAATATCCTCACCTCACTGTCACCGAACAAAGGGTTGTTGATCAAAAAAGAACAATTATACACAACAACCTTATTCCACAAACAACACTCGAACTTATCAAACAACAGGTTGCTGATCAAATACAACAACAGACAGAAACATGTAACATTAATGAAGATCACATAACCTGTCAGGATAATCCAGCAACAAGCATTGATAATAGTACACATATAACAACTACCATTAATGATACTACAGACACTTCCCCATCCATCACTAATAACGTAGATATAGATTTAGTTAATACCCTCTCACTTGTATTTCAGGAAACACTCACTCAATATACAGGCACAGATCCCACACACAGATCACGAATACCGAAAATCAACACGTCAAAGATAGTAGGAAAAACACTAAATTATGTAAACACTCACTTACTACCAAACTACATTCATTCAATTTCTACACTCTCAGACATTCATACATTAGTTTATGCTGGGGCAGTCACAGTAGTAACACACCATGGACTGAAAATACAATCACACAATCACAGACAAACACACACAAAACACAATTCTATCACAAGCCTCCTGGCAGAGAAGAATAGAAACACAAATAAATGACATTAGACAGCAATTAGGCAGGCTGACACAATACACTAAAAACAACATAACACCCAAATTAAAGAAACAACTCAAAAACATTTTCAAGAAAATTAAAACTCACACAAAACAC